CAAAGAAATCAGTAGATTGGGATGCAGAAGAATAGATACTGTAACCAGGGCCGCCCAGTAGGGGGGGCAAGTGGGACAATTTGCCCCAGGCCCTGGGCCCCGCAGGGGCCCCGCGAGCCCTGGCCTGGTGGCGGTCCGGGTCTTCGGCGGCTTTTCGGCGGTGGGTCCTTCAGTGTTGCTGAAGACATGGAGCGACTGAAGGGCCCCCCGCCACCGAAATGCCGATGAAGACCCGGACTGCCGCCAGGTGAGTACAAGTGCCGCAGCTCCCCCGCTTTGCCCCAGGTCCCCTGAATCCTCTGGGCGGCCCTGACTGCAACGAGATGAGAAAATGGCAGGAGAGGATGGTACAGGATGAATTTAAGTGTATGTGTCGAGAGGAGGCGGGGCGGGAAGAATACTCTAGTTTTTCAATCTAAAATTATAGCCAGACTAGTCACACCACATGAGCAGCCCAAAGGTATCTGAAATCTTATCTCTAAGTATCACTGTCTATAGCTCCTGAGAACACTGGCTTAGTACTGTTTACAATCCACTTTGTTGCATTACACAAGAAGGCACTTAAAGCTGCATATTTTTCTCTACATAAATAAAGATTTAATTAGCACTTACTGCTTTGTAATCTCACAAGTTGTAACAGATACCAATGCTTCCGCCTGAAATGCCTTCTTCTGTAATATAAAGAAGTGCCTGTAAACTCTGCTACTCAGGTGTATTTGGGAGTGAGAGGCAGCTTTAGATACACTGCCAGCTGGAAAGCAGATAATTTACCTGGAGTCGCCAGTCTGTTATAGTAAGACTAAAAAAAGACAGCACACACAAATTAACTAGTGAAAAGGGAAGCCTATTCATTAAGATTATAAAAAGTTAAATTAATATATTCTAAGGCCAGAAAGGACCACTGTGATCATCCAGGCTGACTTCCTGCATTCCACACTAGGCCATAGAACTTCCCCAAAATAGAGCATATCCTTTAGAAAAAAAAATATCCAATCCGAATTTAAAAATTACCAATGATGGAGACTCCTCCACAACCTTTGGTAAATTATTTGAATGGTTAATTATCTCCAGTATTAAAAATATATGCCTTATTTACAGTTTCAATTTGACTTGCTTCGACTCGGTACAGTACATTAAAGAGATATTGTAACTATTAGAGATGGTAAAAAATAATAATGATGGAACGATTTTCTGCCATTAAAATGCAGTTGCATTGAAATCAAGATGTTTTGCTAGAACATGTGAATTTCAACAAAATTTTCAACAGAACAAAGTCAAAGCTAACTCTTTCAACCTTCACTTTTTGTTTAGATAATGTTGAAATGCTTCATTTTGACTCCTGTTTCAATTAATTTCATTTTGACTTTTAAAATATAAATTTTAATATGCATTATAATTATACAGTTTTGATATTATCAAAGTGATTTTTTTACTCTATCTATAATAAATGTTTCAACATTATCTAAATTAAATGTTTCAATGGTAATTGATTTTTTTTAAAATGTTTCTTCCATGGGAAATTTCAGCTTTTTGTTATGATTTAAAACAAAACCAAATTTTGAAACATCTGAATTTTCTGTGGAATGGAAATTCCAATTTCTACCCATCTCTAGTGACTATTCAGATATTTGAGGCAACACTGAAATTAATACACTGTACTAAGAAATATAATGCCCTTGTCAAATCAAGAAGGCACGCTCTTCAAAAGCCAGAATATAAAATGTGTATGAGAGATTAAGGCTGAATCCTGCAGATTTTATGTGAATAGCTCTACTGCTGTGCAAATCATATCTCAACAAACTGAAGGGCTCATTCAGCTCTCATGAACGGGAACAGAAAGACTCTCATTGACTTTAAAAGGGAGATGGCTCAGGCTCCAAAATTGTAATAATAATTTACACAATTAAGAACTTTTGGCACTCAGTTCATATTAGAAACTGCAACTGATCTTTCTCATTCATGTCAACATCAAAATGTAAATGTAGATGCATTTGAAGCCCTTGCTTTCTAGCTACAAAATTCATATGTCTCTTTCTGATTAAAAACAAAGAGGAGTCTTTCTGATCTGCAATTTGCAAGTACCAGAACAAAATATGTGTTTTCTAAACCATGTGGTTATAGGTAAGTTATCTGAGCATTAACCTTTTTTGCAAGTAAAATCTATCACACCACTATTGATCTCGGAGTGTACGGATTAAAAATAAAATTAAATGATATATTTTCTTCAATCACTTTATGGAAATATGTAGATGACATTAATGTAGCTGATTCAAAATTCACAATTGTGTGCCTTGGAATCCACTAGACAGCAAAACAGATGGCAGTACAGCAATAGAACACCTGAACCTAACCAGGGCCGGCTCTGGCTTTTTGGCCTCCCCAAGCAAAAAAAAAACCCAAAAACAGTGATCTGTGCACCGGAGCACGGGTGCAGGGGGACCGGCTAGCGGGGGGGAGGGGAAGGGAGCGGACGGGAGAGAGAGAGAGAAGGGGGGTGGCCAGGGCTACAGCGGGGCGCTGCCACGCGGCCCCTCGCACCGCCTGCCGCCTGCTGGGAGGACTCCGCTCCGGTCGGCGGGGAGGGAAGGACGTGGGCTGTCCTGCCGGGCTTGCTGCAGGGCGCTCCCATCCTCCGCGTCGCCGCCCCCTACAGTGCGGCCGGAGTGGAACAACAACAACAACAACAAAAACAATCGACATTTACTTTTTCTTTTTTCAGCTCAATCTCCTCTAGAAAGCTATCAGAGCAGGCATTAGAAAAGCAAAGAAACTGCATCATTCAGGTGTGGTGGAAAAGAGATGTAGAGCTGAGTGTTCGCTAGATACTGATGTTTAAAAAAAACAACCATTCCCTCACGTCTCCCCTGTGCCTTGCTCTTTGTGTCTCACTGCCTCTTTCACCCAGAGGTGCCTGGAAGGATAGGAGCTGCTGCTGGAGGACAGAGGATGTTATGAGTGGAACGGCTTTTCCATTTTTAATTTCTGTAGTAGAAATTTTCATTCTGTAGTTACTTTATAGAGCACTTGATGATAATCCAGGTAGAGCTGGCAGGTCGCAAGATGCTGACTTTCCTCCTTGTTTCAATATGTGAAATAAAATATTATTGGCAATGTGTAACATAGGTTCAGCTGCTTGCTGAGGCACCGATCAAAGTACTTAAGCATATGCTTAACTTTAGGAACTGAATGGGACTGCTAATGTGTTTAACATTAAGTTGGTGTTTAAGAGCTTTGCCTGATCAGACTTGAGGATTGTGAACCACATTTATAGAATTTCCGGTCTGTAGTTGCAGCGGAATGTCTTTATATTCTTCTCTCATCCTCTCAGACATTCCCCTGCTTCCCCAACATCACTCCAAATCCTAGACAGACATTTAGAAACTACTTGTAGTCTTTTGAAAATGTGCAGCATCAACTAGTGAGCTAAGAAGGGTACTCTGGTGGAAAAGATAGATATAATTTAGGTGAACAGAATGGCCAGATGCATGAAAAGCTCGGAGCTATTTACTGTTTATGTATGTTTGTTTGCTTTTGCCAGAATGCTCAGCTGTTACACCTCCAAACAGAACACACATGTACAGAGCATACTTTACTAGTCACGTCAGGCTGCTAATTTTGACACCTGTATAATAAATCTGTTGGCTAGATGCAAACCTGCGGGCTGTGAAGGACTTTAGAAAAATAAGCAGAGAGGTGACAGTTCTTGTAAGAACTTTGATTCAAAAGGCAATAATTACAAAAAAATTTAGAAACTGAGCTAAAAATATTTAAAAGGAACAAATACAGAAAAAAAGAGAGGTCAACAGTTAGTCAGCTGAGAATGCATTACCAGAGAAAAGCAACTCCTTGCAAAGTGAACTTTGACATTTAAGACCATGCTTCTGGATGTCTGTAATAGTTATCATCCAGTCACTACGTGTTTACAGTCGACTCCTTACAAATTTAAAACTTCATTCCAGAATCAACTCCTTTTTTCGGTTTTTGACAACTCATGAGTACATTGTGTAAAGCATACTAACATTTCAGAAACTGTTTTGGTCATGGTATCCCATTTATTTTATACTTGATACATTAGAAAATCCCCAAATCTTTGAGCATTGTTTGTTAGTGCTATGAGGGTAGCTCACGGGAAATTATCTAGAATGGAATTTAGAGGAATACTTCACCAAGAACGTAGGATATAGTAATTTGATCAAATTTTGCCCTCCCACAAACCTCCCTGTGAACTGTGTACACATAACAAATAGCATATGTATGTTTGTAGAACCATTGGTAGGTACAGTAATTTGTCTTTGGGACCTCCGCCCCAAATGGTCTGTACCATTATTCTGTATGTAAAAAAATTCCTAGAGAACCATTGATTCCAGAATGACTGTCTCTTGACAAGAAGAGACTACATGGCTGGGAGAGGTGTGGCTTTGGGCATTTCAGCTGTGGACTTGTTCAAAGAAACTTTGCAAACAGATTTTTGTATAATGGGGTCAAATGTATTCTTTTACTTTCTTTGTACTGAAAAATGGCTAGTTTGACCAAATAAACTGTAAAAAGGGGGGTTTCAAAATTTTGGTTTTGTTCAAAGTTTGAACAAAACCTTTTTCTTCTTCTTTTTTTTTTTAGTTTATTTGTTCAAACTAGGCTTTTTTCAGCACAAGGAGTAAAAGAATACAATCACAATTGGGATAATACCAAGCCATTCAAATTTCAGCCCCAAATTTCAGCCCCAAGGCTATGCGTAACTAAAAATGAGGTTACAAAGAAAACCACTCTGCAGTCTTAAATACAGCAGGTCTTCCTGCACCTGCGATCTTAAGCATTTCTTGTGAGATGTCTGTTTGTGTTAAACATTTCCCATTAATCCCTTTTCTACTTTAAATATAGAAAGGGCGGACTAGAAATACGCCCTGTAAAAAACTGCTCAGAAGGGGATCAGCAGATATTTTAGATGCTTATGTAAAATTATCTTATTTAATCATTAAGCAAAACTTTATTTTTTAAATTAGAATGATATGGGAGGTCAACGGAGCCTAATAAACAAGTGGACAACTTTCCTGAAAGCAAGACTGGTGTGCTCAATACCTGGCCCTGAGGGAGCAGACACATATTTTGATGAGCTACGTAAGTTGAACTGATCTTTACTATTTTGTTCTGTAATCTGCTCTGTGTTTTGGATTTTCAGAAACTCAGGACAGTGTTTTGATCTCACTCACACCAGTTTTATACTATGGGCAACTCCATTGACTTTACTCCTGGTATACAGCTGGTGTAAATGTGATCAGAATTATGCCCTGTTATTTTTACTTGGCTTTTCCCATTTGGGGAGAAGTTCAGCTGATTCCAGGTGGAATACAGAAGATGGCAGACATCAAAACTTCAGCACAATTCACAGGACAGAAAATTCAGATGTAAGGATTAATGTTATGTTTACAAAGCTCCAAATGATAGGGTGGTAAATATGAAAATGTTTATAGGCTGTTTAATAAAAAGAAACTTTTCCCATTACAGAAGATATATTCTTACTTTCCACAAGAGATGAGAGAAACCCTCTAGTATATGGAGTCTTCACTACTACAAGGTATGTGTAGGTTCACATTTGCCCCTGGAATCCAATCCTGAAGGCCTCATAGGCAAAAACCTCTTAAAGTCAAAGGGAGCTTGCCAGAATAAGACCTGCAGGACTGACCTCTATTCCCCTAGGCCAATATTTTCCAAAATGTGTGCCTAAAGTTATGCTTCATAGTCCTTACGTAGGCATCTAAATACGTGCCTGGTTTAAAAAAGAGTCGGTTGAGAAACAGGTGAATTTTTCACAAAAATCTTCAAGATGTTGAATTTCAAAATTAAAAAAAAAATTGACTAGCTTTACAGAGTACCCAACAGCTCCTATTGAAATAAATTCATTCTCCTCTGCTGCCAGACCCTGATTATCTTGTAAAAAGCAACAGAGTCCTGTGGCACCTTTAAGACTAACAGATGTATTGGAGCATAAGCTTTCGTGGGTGAATGCCCACTTTGTCGGATGCATCAGGACTCTCTGTTGTTTTTTACAGATCCAGACTAACACAGCTACCCCTCTGATACTTGATTATCTTATGAGATCAAACAATATCACATGTCAAGGTGATACATCTGTAGGTCACTTTTTGCAATAAAGCACTTTAGAGTAACACATCAGCATAATAGGTGGGGATGGTAATAAGATAATACCCCCTCACCTCACAGGAGGGGAGTGGGGCTGGAAGATTAATTAATGTTGGTGTAGTACTCAGATATTATAGTGATGAACATCCAATGAGGAAATTAATAATTCTGTTTTCAGAGCATGGTTTGAATAGTGTGCAGTAAATGGGGTCACACATTGAACAATAAGGTTACAACAAGATATTGAATAACTGCTGATTAAGTGAGCACCCTGCATCCTGTGAACTGAATGAGGCAGAAGTCCTGTGGATAAAATAGTGTGTGATCATGTAATTAGAGACAGCATCATAATGTATACACACAAGGGGGCGAGTTAAGTTTGCACTGGCAATTTTACCTCTAGCATCCTAACTTTTGAGTATTTGACTCCCCATCTTAATAATGTTCAATGTAGTTTTTGTGTGTCATGTAATCTACCTGCTGCAGATGGAATGGAATGTAGTCATTCTAGATATAATTTCTGTATCAGTTTGTAGTAGTCTTTATTATTGATTTGTATTACAGTAGCACATAAATGCCCTGACCAAGATTAGGGTGCCTTTGGGCTAGACGCAGAGCATTCACATAGTAAGTGAGTCCTCGTCCTGAAGAGTTGATCATCTAAATAGACCAGCCAAAGGGGAAGGTGTCAAGGTTGGAGAGTGACACAGAGAAATTACTTGACTTGTCCCAGGTCACACAGTTGATTAGTGGCAGAGCCAGGAGTAGAACTGAAGTCCCTGGGGTCTCAGTGCAGTGTGCAAAGGATGAAAGAGACTGTAAATGTCAACTATAAGAACAGTATGAATTAATATAATCAGCGGCAGCTCCAGGCACCAGCGCTTCAAGAGCGTGCCTGGGCGGCAAGCCATGGGGGGCGCCCTACCGGTCCCTGTGAGGGCGGCAGTCAGGCAGCCTTCGGCGGCTTGCCTGCGGGAGGTCCGCCGGTTCTGTGGATTTGGTGGCAGTTCGGCGGCGGGTACGCCGAAGGCGCAG